CTCACACTTCCGGCTTCCAGAGCTGGGAGGAGTTGGAGCCTGTAGGTTACAAGTCTTCTGCTGCAGCTGCCTGAGCTCGTGAAGATGATGGTCTGTGTCCACCGTGGCCCCGGCCCTCACCTGTGCCTGGTCTCTTTCAGGAGATCCTCCTGTTTCATCCTTGAGACCAAAGCCCTGGATTCCGCCAGGGCTGAGGACAAGACACTGCCCACTTTCACAGGACAGCAAGAACATGAGGATGTAACTGGCTTTTATTCAAACTCTCTGCCACTGTTCCTGCTCCACCTTTACTCCTAATTCCCATGGTCCCAGCACCATTGAGTCCCGCCCCCTGTCAGAGTCATCACTCACTTATCTGCTTCCCAACCTCACTTTCTCCCTGTTGTCTTTGTCTGAACAGCTTTATGCCTTTTAAAAAGCATCCTATTTGCTGTCCCTGAAGTATAGCTTCAGGAAGCAACCAAAGTACACATATGACTGGTCCGTGATCATGTCCAGTCATAAAGGCCCCACCGACGTTAGCCCCCATGATCCAGCTCCTGGCCTCACTGAACTGATCATGCTAACATCGCCTCTGTCTTTGCAACTTTATTCCCCACTCCTGCTGGTTCGGGCAATGCTGGACGCTGAAGCCACTTCCACTTAAACCCCTTCCTCTCCTGAATTCAGCAGCAACTCCATCTTTGGGAACTGGCTGTTGCCTCCTTCAGAGAATGCTCTTCCTTTCTCAGCTCAAGCCTGGTGTTCCTCTGCTCTTTCCTTTCTGGACACTATGGTGGAGTGGACTCGTCGAAACCCTCATGCTGGTTTTCCTCACCCGCCACTTCCGCCACTTACACACGACAACTCTAAACTGCTTCCGGTCCATGCCAGTCTGCTGACCTACAGACCCATGTCTCCACCAGCAAACCTACTTGGGTTTCTTATAAGCACCCAAACTTGACAAGTCTTAACCAAGTCCATCATTGTTTTTACACAAACCTACCACACCCCGTGTTTTCTGTCCCAATGAAGGGGTACCCTCACCCACACTGCAAACAAGCCAGAAACCCAGGGGTCCTGTCGGGATTCCTACCACCGACTTACTACCCCCAACAAAGCCCTAAGTCCTGCTGATTTGACCTCTTTAATCCCGAGAGCAGAAGTTCTCAGAACTCAGTGCACGTCAGAATCACTTGTAGGGCTCATTAAACATCAACATCAACCAAATGTCCCTCAACAGATGAATGGATAAATAAGATGTGGTACATATATACAATGGAATATTATTCAGCTGCAAAAAGGAACAAAACAGTGCCATTTGCAGAGATGGGGATGGACCTAGAGGCTGTCATAAAGAATGAAGAAAGTCAGAAAGAGTAAAACAAATATCACTCATTATGTAGAATCTAGAAAAATGGTACAGATGAATTTATTTGCAAAGTAGAAATGAAGAGACAGATGCAGAGAACAAACATATGGATACCAAGTGGGGAAGAGGGGAATAGGATGAACTGGGAGATAGGGATGGATGTATATACAGTACTATGTATAAAACTGATAACTAAGCACAGGGAACTGTACTCAATACTCTATGACGATGTAAATGGGAAGGAAACCCGAAAGAGAGGGGATGGATGTATATACGTTATAACTGATTTACACTGCTTACAGCAGAAACAAACAGCACTGTAAAGCAAAGACATCCTAATAAAAAGTAATAATAATAAAAATACTAACTGCTGGCCTCAGTCTCACAAGTTCTGACCCAGCAGATGTGGGTGAAGAACAGAATGTGCATTTATATCAAGGTCCCAGGGGATGTGACACTGCTGAGCTGGGGGCCACTCTGAGGACCACTCACTAGAGGACAACCCCACCTCACTGGACCCCTTCGCCTGTGCTGGTCCAGCCCAGCAGATGGCATTTCTAGCTGAGATCATAACTCTGAGCCTCTTAACTGAGCTGACCTTCTCAAAACACCCCCCAATCTACAACTGGAATGCTCTTTCTGAAAAGAAAACCGAATGTCTCACAGCTTCTCACTGACTTCTCATAACTTTTGAGGGTGCCACCCAAACTCCTTCATGTGCAGGGCCCTTGGTGACCTGGCCCCTCACTGGTCTGCTCCTACTGCACACTCCCCAGCCAAACATGTCTCATCTCTCCAGACATTTCCTACAGGTCATACCTTTAGTGACTGCAATTTCAGGTGCTGATATTCTGTGATATTTTAAAATTTCTCTGTACCAATACTTTAGGTTGGTCAAATGCTATCACCTAGTTTTTAAAAAATCTAAAATTTGAAATATGCCTTAAGCATAATTATATGAAAGGACAAAGTAATGCATAATCTACAATGCACTATGATATTTTAACACTTCTATTTCAAGAATAATTTTTATTTCCAATAACTTCTAAACAAATGGAATATGACATAACAGAATTTGTTTTTATATGGGTAATTCTGCATCAGAACCTCTATACACATGATAAAATCAAAGAAGATGGTGACAAATCAGAAATCCTAACTTTGAGATAAAAAACTAGAACTTGGTATTAGCAGACTGCACATTCTTAAACAATTGAAAAAAGATCTCATCTAAGTTATCAATGAAAAGGGGTTACTTAAAAATGAATGAGCCAAAGAAAAATATCTGGAACTAGCTTATAATTATTTTCCTTATTCTCCCAATTTATGTGGTGTAAAAATAAAACAAATCTCTACAGAAAATGTGCACAAAAATACATTCACAACTAAATGAAATCAGGGAAGCCCCATGATTTAAAGACTAACCTTTATAAAGGATCTAAAAGATTTTCATTTCCATGTAGTGCTTAGTTTATATTTTTGAATAACACTTTTATTGTTTTCATCTAATCACTCATATTAAAATGATAATGGATATTTAACACTTATACACATGGGTATGGGATTAGAAGATGCAAACTATTATGTATAAAGTAAATAAGCAACAAAGATATATTGTACAGCACAGGGAAATATAACCATTTTTAATAACTTTAAATGGTGTGTAATCTATAAAAATATTAAATTATTATGTTGTACGCCTGAAACTAATATAATATTGTAAATCAACTATACTTCAATAAAAAAATCTGTAATAAAAATAAATAGAATATAATTAACTTTATAAGTATATTTAACAAAACTATAAATTTTATATAGGAATTTCTATCTTAATAAACTGATTACTGATTTCCTTAAGAAACTAAAATAAATAACATTTCTATTTTTACTGTGTATTTAAAAATTAGTTTTCTATTTGAAACACATCAACTATTTGATTTTACTGACATTTTAGAAATTCTTATATAACACTTAAAAATAAAGTACCAGTATCAATTCCTGGATCCTGTTATTTTTTAAATAAGTACCAAAATACTAACACTGATGTTTTACTGTGGCACCGTGACCACAAACAAATTTGTCCTTCATGTTGCTCCTTTCTAGAAGGTTCTCTCCTTCTTTAGTAGGTAGCTAGCCACTCACTCCGATACTAAACACAGCTCCAGCACCACCCATTCTGGTGGTCCCCCGCCCTCCTCTCTGATGGACGCCTCTCAGGCCCCAGAGCAGCAGTGCGGCTCCAGCTCTGGATGCCCCCCCTAACCCCCCACATAGCATCACACTCCTCACTGCCCTCTCCGAGTCAGGACTGCATGTGATTCCAGACACCCATGGTCAGGCCTGCCCAACATATGCTCAGTGGAGGCCTATTATCTACTCCTCCAACAATCGCAAGCACCTTCCTCTCCAGTGAGCAAAACCAGACTTCCAGAAAACATGTTCGTAGGCCCCTCCCTAGCCATCCCCTCCCCAAATCCTTCTACTGAACGACTCTGAACACTGTGCCCTGCGAATCCAAACCACCCCTCCCACTCGCTGCTTTGTTAAGTGATCCAGGAGCACCAAGCGAGGCTGGGCCAGGAGCACGGCAGGGGGGTGAGGACGCCCGCCCCAGCTGCGCTCAGGGCCCACGTGTGAATCCTCCTCCCCGTGCAGATGCTAACGCAGCCCTCGCCCTCTCCACACGGCCACCCCGTCTGCCAGCACCCTTGCTTTCCTCACTGGCCTGCTCGCTCACTAAGCTCCACTAGACGCCCGATGCGGGAGAGACAGGGGCGCCGCACAGGGTGAGAAATCCACTCCCCACTCAGCGGCCTGGGCTCAGACACCAGAGCCAGGGAGCTCCAGCAGTGCCCCACCTGCCGCCTGCATCCCTGATGTGCTGCATGGCGAAAGCGTGAAAATACCAGATCCACGTGTGGCTAAGCCACATCTCTGTGAGAACAGCTTTACCAGCGACACCCCCCAGCACCCGACCAGGAACCAATGCCTGTGTCCCGCGTGGTGGCTGGCCGGCCTCGCCCCTCTCTCGGGCTCTGGTCTTCTGTTCTGCCTGCAGGGATGCGAGACATCTGGCTAGGGTCACTGCACTTGTTATGTGTCGTGCTGCCTCCCTGCTCAGGCTGTGAGCCCCACGATGACAAAGGCGCACCCTGGGTCTCACATGTGCGTGACTCCCCAGAGCATGGAAAACCTTGCTTCTGGTGTGTCAGCTGTCACCCTGTACACAAAGCCTCCTGCTCTGCTCAGTGCATGATGTGAACAGTCACAGAGCTGCGACAACAGTAAGCGGAGAAACGGAGGAAGTCCAGGAACAGCGGGGGTGAAGGCAGGGGCCTCACACGGTGGAATGCCAGTGCTACAATGCCTGTTTAATTGAGACCTTGTAATAAAAGTTTAAATACATAATTTTTTTTTTTTATCAAAAGACCATCCCCCACGTTCCTGGCCCGCTGACGTGGAGGAGGGGCGGCAGGATCTGACTACCTCCAGGGGTGAAGACAAAGCAGGTCCAACTCTGGCAGTTGTCATCATCCTTGGAAAATGCTCTGTGAGCAAGGCTGGTCTCAGGGAGGGAGCCCCCCATGCCGGCGTCTGCAGGGGCAGGAGCCCCCCGGGCATCCCGGTGGGAGGAGAACAGGGCCCACGCTCAGAAGACGAGGAAGAGCAGGGCCTCGTGCCGGGGCAGCACAACGTTCTCCACTGTGCGGTCCATGGCGCGCACCTGCTCGGGGGAGGCGGTCAGGAAGGCCAGTGGCCCGATGCGCTGCTCCACACACGAGTGGCACAGGTACCCACCCTTGTTCTCCTTCCTGTTGCTCTGCAGGGTGGGGTAAGGAAAGGAGACGAGGGGGACAGTTGGAGCACAAGTGTTTTCCACCAAGAAGTGTGACCCCCCTCCATCAGACTCCGATGCTTTCAGACTTGCTGTGTGGCCCTGAGGTCACACCTCCCCCAGCAAAGCATCCAGGATGGACTCTGCTATATCAAGTCCCAGGGCGTATTAAGGCACAAGATGAAAAAGCCAGGAAAAAGCTAACCAGGCCCCAAGGAAATAGTCCTCACCTGAGCGTCTGCACCAGCCCGCCTCCCAGACTGCCACCTGGCTTGACCCCACGGGGTCCAGTGTCTGTGACACTGAGGTCCACAGGGCACCTCCAGACCTCCTCGTGGAAGGATCAGACAAGCTTCCCCTTCAGCTCCCTCACCCATGGCCTGGATAGGCTGCCCAGTGATAAAGCTCAGGCGACTGAGCTAAACCCTGGCAAGGGCAGAGGCAGCGGCCGAGACACGTACGTAAGTGATAGGCAGCTTGCGCATGGTGAGCACGGCGTCCACAGGGATGGCGTTGCTGCACTGGCCCACGCAGCAGCGCACCACGCCTGTCTTCAGCACGTTACTCGTCAGCTCCGCCTGCAAGAAGTATTCCTGGGAAGGAGAGAGCAAGGGTGTCACTGCAGTGCCTCTGCAATTTTCTACCTGGATGTCCAACACTCTAGGACATCATATGAGTCCCAAGATGAGAAAAGCAGGGACCACAGCAGCTTCCCTTGTTTCTCTGCCTTTTCCCCGCACGTAATGCCAGCTCTAAAAGAACACGCACAGCGGGACCCAGTCCAGCTGCATTCTTACTAAAATGACTGGTTTAAAAAAAAAGGTTTAATGGACAAACATGTGAAACTATTGGCTACAATATTTTAGGACTACTTCTGGATTTTATCTGAGGCTGACCTGTCTCTGAGTCATTAAAAACGATCTGCATGTTCTCTTCATAGCCCAGTGAGCTTCAAAACCCTGCCCATGCCCATTTCCCTGAGCCCTTGGCTGTTTTCGTGAGTAGGCTCTGAGCCTCTGCTGCTCTACCTGCCAAAGGCACAGACCCAGCACCCAGGTCAGCTGGCGGTTGTGAGGAAGATGCACAATAGCGTGTGCCAGGCGCGTGTTTGTTGTCTGCACACAGTGGACACCCGAGTCAAATGCCAGCACCCTCCCAGATGGGAGATGCCACGAGAACAGGAACCAGGGTCTGGTCTGCTGCTGCCACAGAGGAGGGTAACCAGGGTCTGGCACACCAGAAAGACCTCAAATGCTTGCTGACAAAACGATTATGATTTCATGGGTTTTTTTTTTAAATTATAACTAGCTATTTATCCAATTTTTTTTTTTTTTGGGCAAAATCCAGGTCTGATTTATGTGGTTTTTCTGTCTTTCAGGGTCTGCCTACCTGCTACAGGAAAAGAACAGAAAATATACAGACGCTTGTGTTCCCGCCAGTGTGTATGAACAACTAACTGCTGACCAGGGTGGACTTCACCATATCTGAAACAGGATGCTCCCACATGGATTCATAAGCCACAACAGAGAAAAAGCAGAAGTCCTTTCCTCACGCAAGGTCCTTCAGACTAAGAGTCAGCTGGTCACACAAACAGCTGTACTTCCGGGGCCTCCTTGGAGTCCCTGGACCAACAGATGTCTCCTAACCAGCCTTAGTGAGAAGGAAGTACTTCTCCAGAGTCCATGTTCTTTTCTCCTTGGAGAAAGCTCATCTTCCCCATAAAATGTGTGCATGAGCAACTGGCATGCTTCCAGTGAGCTTTAAAAAGCCTGCTAGCCTCTAACATAAAACTCGTGGGACTCCAAGACACACAGTTCCTGTGATGAGTATGGCAATACCTAGAAAAGTGATGCATCCATTATCCTTTACCCACAAATTTTGACTGTTGAATTGTATCCCCAAGATGTATTAGCTAAAACAGAAAATGATTTGTGCCTAAGATCATGCATGGTGGCAAAAGTATTAAAAGTAAAAGACTGGAAAATATCCAACATCCATGGGTGAAGAACTATATAAATCATGTCAGATGGACACAGTGAATACTATTCAGCTGTAAAAAGGAGGAGAAAAAGCTTTAGAAACTGATAAAAAGTGAGGTACAGAATATTATAGAATGCTACCTTTCATGGAAAAGGAGAATAAAAAATACATCTATACATATTAGTCAATATCTACAAAAGGAAATGTCAAAAACTAATTTTTAAAAACTAGCTATCAATGATGGAAGGAGATAAATGTCTACAGGAGCTACGGAGGGAACAAGACTTCTCAGAGGACACCTGCTACAAAGTCCTGATTTCAGAAACATAAACTTTATACATTCAAAAAAGATAATGAAAAAGGAGAGCAATCCTTCTAAGGGCTGCAGATAAACAAATATGTCTACCTGCACTTAAACTGGTGATCAAGTCACACAGAGGGGAAAAGACTCATTCCAAGCATGGTACTTCAAAACACTGTACTCCAACTACACATCTTCAGTGGAATATTGAGAGATACAGCTGTTAGGAAATCTTTAATTCCACACAGTATTCTGTCAACAGTAATATTGGTATTACTTGAAAACTTTTACACAGAGAATAATGTAAATAAGTAATTAATAAATACGGTTCAGAACCAAGATTTTCAGTGTAAGAGAAAAGATTCAAATGTAAAATAAAGTAGAGTGTGTAATGTGTAAAGAAGTAAAAATCCTTAAAGGACTGGGCTGGAGAACCACAAATGACGAGGGTTATAAATGCAATTGGCCACCAGCTCCCAAAGGTACAGACAGAGGGCAGCCCACCTCCTGCTAGTTGCACCTGTGTGTCTATTTTATGTATCTGTGTTGCATTTAACAAGAAGTTTAAATTAGAAACTGGAATTGAAATGATCAGTATCAAAAATATGGATTTCCTAGCTCTGTCTGCTAAAAAGGTGAACAGTTTGAGCATCAGTAAGAGGGAGAGAATCAGAAACCAATGCCTCCTGACGGGATACAGCACAGAGTGAAGCCTGCTGCCCCCGCATCGTGGAAGGTTCCTGCCAGCACAGTTAGACCCCAACTCAGTCACGCCCCTCAGGTGACTTCCTGTGATGGCAGACGACAGCAGAACAAACGCAGAACAGGGGACACTCTGGGGAACAACTGGCGCAGTTTCCACAAAAAGTCAGAAGCGTCAGGGATGAGGGAGGGGTCCTGGGCTGCTCTAAATAAAGAAGCTTAAGAGATCTTCCCTGGTGGCTCAGAGGTTAAAGCGTCTGCCTGCAGTGTGGGAGACCTGGGTTCGATCCCTGGGTCAGTAAGATCCTCTGGAGAAGGAAATGGCAACCCACTCCAGTATTCTTGCCTGGAGAATCCCATGGACGGAGGAGTGTAGTGGGCTACAGTCCACGGGGTTGCAAAGAGTTGGACACGACTGAGTGACTTAACTTTCACTTTCCCTTTCAAGAGACCTAATAACCAAATGTCTGTTTGAGTCCTGCTCTGAATGAATCAGCTGTAAAAAGACATCTCTGAGATAATCATAAAATTATGATTATGGATTGAGTGGTAGAGGCCATGTGGAATCACCAAATGTTATAAGATACAATAACGGGGGCTGTGGATATGAAAGAAAAGTCCCCGGTGTTTCAGAGACATGGACTCCAAACATACGCAGATGTAGGACTGTAATATATCACTGTCTCAACATTAAAACGTTTCAGATTTCTTCAAGTAACCCATGTTGTGAAATAGTATCAGTACTCTACAAGCCATCTGTTATCAGTTGCCAGTGATAATATGCTTCTGTTACAGATCTAACTACTACCATAACAGAGGTTCTACAAGAAAACCATGCTGTAGGTTCTAAGAAAACATAAGATTAAAGTTCATACAGAAACTCATACAACAGATAGAGATTATTTGTACATAAAATTTACTCTCCTACTTCACTCTCTGGGGTACTGGTTTAGAGACTAAGAAAAGCCAGGCTTATCTATAAACCAGGAAATCAGCAAACAACTGTCTGTGCTTACCCCAGCCAAAGTCAAAATGTTCTCCAGAGATTTGGTCATGATGAGCTGCTTTTTGGCACGAGTTACAGCTACATACAGTAAATTCCACTCATCCTCAGAAAACGACTCTAAAGAAAGAAAAGGGAAAAAAAACATATCAACACACAAGCCTGCTTATAAAAGTTTACATTTTCATCTAAACGTTTACTACTCCCCACCCACCCTGCAAAAACCCCTAAAGATCTGCTGGCTTCATAAACAAAGCTTTCCTACAAACACCAACTCCAGAAACAAACAAAACCCTACAGACAAGGGGCACAGGACCTTGAGTTCCTGTTTGTGCTGCCTCTGGCAAGTCCTGGGGGCTTGTTCACTGGTCACCCAGCACCTGGTACATGGTCACCAGTGACGTGTCCGGTGCATTGTCAAGGCAACCAGGAGGCTGGCAGAAATCAGGCTGATGGAGGTGAAGTCCCTGGACAGACAGGACTCAGCCACAGACGCACAAGGGTCCTGGGGTGGCTGAGCCTCCTGTCTCGGGGCTATGCTCTTCCCCCCACACGCCGTCCCTCTCCCTCAGCCAGTCTGGATGGGCTCGCGTGGTTTCCGCCCTGTCAGCTGCCTGCACACAGAAGCCCTCCTCAAGGGGTGGGGGTCTGGGAACACACACAGAGCTGTGCCATCCGCCTTAGAAGGGTGGGCACAGGATGAGGCCAAACACCACAGCACTGAACTTTAGAGCAGAGAAGGGTTTAACGCAGGGCCCCACAAAGAGTTGGATGGCTGTGCCCTGAACAGCCCAAACTCCCCGAGAACTCTCAGCAAAGCCCTTTTCTAGGGAAGGGGAGGGAGGGGGGAGTGAGTTGTTGCAAACGTCTTGGTGGCAGAGCCTGTGTTCCTGAGGTCAGGTCACGGTCAGGGAACGATGGTCCTGTAAACCTCCACCAACTGAATATGCTCTGTTCTGACAAGAAAGGACACGGTCCCCAGGCAAAACCGTCACCCTCTGAGGTCTGGTACTGGCTAAGAGGAGGCAAATCTCAGCTGGCAGCTCCCTCAAGGCCAGGCCTCCAGACCCCGACCAGCTGCCATCGCTGAGGGAGCTGGGCACCCAGGCCCTAACGGCCCTCTGCCTCCGCAGGCTGCCAGTATGGTGGGGGCAGGCCCCACAGACCGTGACACACGCAGATGGCCGCGGCCGTGAGGTCTCACAGGCAGGGATCAGGGACCGGGTCACCACCTCAAGGCATGAGCCCAGCCAGGGTGCAGTCCTGGTGAAGGCTCTGGAGCCCTGGAGGACAAGGCCCCCAGCCTGTTCCCTGGGCCCCCAGCTCACGAGCTGGCCCAGGGCTGGGTGAGCTGAAGGGCCCCAGGGAGAAAGCCAGGCTCCGCCTCTTACCTCACTCTCCTCCTGATGACCTCCACTCCGCTGACAGCTGGCTGAATGGACTGCTAAAAGTCGCTCCCTGACAGCTGGCTGCCTGTGGAGGGGCCACTGCGGCGCCAACCAATGAGAGAGGACTAACAGTCCGGCAGTAATCGTAAGGCACAGCGACAGTCTGGTGCTAAGGGCTGCGTGTGGCCACACTCTATTACATTATTAAATAAACTTCACTTCCTCAAGACAGAGCAGCTGGTATCTCTCTATGGCCACTGTGTCTCCCTGCTCCACAGCAATATATGTTCAGCACTATGTCTTCCTCTTGTTTTAGGAATATATTTGATAGAGATAAGGAATTTTTAGTATTTCTATTTGGTGCTCGCCCATGCAGGCTATGACCCAAATTTTGATTCCATGACTAAGAGAGAGATTTTATCTGTTTACAGGAAAGACTTCAAATGGTTTCATTCTAAGACTTAAACCCCAAATCAACAGCACTGATGCTTAGAGTTTAACAGGTAGCCTCAAGTATAAACTGATACAAAAGAAGACAAATGATAGTGTACATTGACGCCTTTTAAGATTCTCAGGCTTTTTTAATTAAAAAAAAAAAAATTACAGAAAAAACACCCTGGTGGGTAGGTAAACTATGATTTAGAGCTTCTGTCTGATAGGGAAAAACCAAGACGCGGTAAGCACACCTGCCCTTGGAGAAGCCTGATGGAGGTAGGTCCTGGAAGCTCAGTTCTTCTAAAAACCAGTCTAAGAATAACAAATTTAGGACTAGGAGGACCTTTCTGTTCTAGGAGGATCCTTCCAAGAGGCCACACCATCCCGGAAAAAGCAAGGCCGCCCCACAGCGAGGACTCCGTCTGCTCACCGACTCTGAAGTGGGGCAGCTGTGCGAGGTTGTGCTTGGCACAGGGCACTTTCACAAAATCGTCCAGGACGTGCACGGTGTCAAACTCCAGGCCCTTGGCCTTGTGCACGGTGCCCAAGATGTACTCTGCAGCAGAAACACAGCCGACCATCAGCCAGGGGCAGGCAGGGAGAGACAGGAGAGGGGAGAAGTGTGTGCTGCCCTGACTGCATCTTCTCGCCTGGGTGCAGCGCCACAGGAGAGGGAACCTCAGTTTGAAAAGAAAGAGGAGGAGGGAGACAGTAAACAGATGAGGGGAATGAGAAACCCACTGCAGGGGTTGGGTACACAGCAGAGTCCGGTCCGGAGCTCACGGCTACTACCTGCCACCCACTTTCTGCACACGAGGGGACAGAAGCCCAGGGGAGGGTGGGGGCTTGCCCAGGGTCACACGGTGGCAGAGCTGGGGCTCAGGAGCCCCTTCTTCCAGCTGGAAGAGCAGAAATAGAGGGGAGCAGGAGGAAGGCAGCCCAACTCCCCTCGGCTGGTGCAGTCACCCCAGTCAGTGATGTCCACGCTGGCAAGAGGCCCAGAGGCCGCCTCTGCCCCACATCCTTACCTGCGAAGTCCAAGTCCTCTATGTGGCACCGCTCTATCCTCGCCACCAGCTCTGGAATGCGGATGTTGTACTTCTCCACGACTGCGATCTTGGCTTCCAGCTCCTTGTCCTCGGCCGCGGTCACGTACCGCTTGAAGCCGCTGAAGCCCTCTTTGTGTGCCCACCTCCTGATGAACCTGTCTTTAATGACGAGGTTTCCTAGAGGGAACATGCATGTGCGTCAGGGAGATACAGCTGCACCCATGCTCGGGGGTGGCAGTTCCACATTCCTAATGGACCACGAGACAAATGAGTGGTCTCAGAGCTGGAGACCTGGGTCCAGGCCCGACGGCACCAACGACCCGCCGTGGGCGCTGGGGTGAGTCAGCACAGTGACCTGTGCATCAAGTTCAGGGTCAAGAGGCCTGCCCTTGAGACCCCCGCTTGTCAGGGATTTGAAACAATGCAGTGATGAAAAAGCAAGCGTGCTATGGAAGTGCTAGAGACGATCACACAGGGCCCAGGTAGAAGTCACCATGTGCGAGGTCCTCAGGCAGATGGAACAGAAAGAGGGTGAGGATGATGGCTGCAGGGCCAGTGTGTGAGAGAGAGATCTAGACTCCCAAGAACAGGGCCTGGGAAGAGCTGTCACTGCCTCTGAGAACAGGTGGCCTCAGGCACTGCGCCGCTGCCAGAAGCAGCACATTGGCTCCTCCAGGGCAGATGACAAGCAACGTAGCGCGCCTGTCCACCTCCCGCCCGACACCAGGATGCCTGTGCTTACCACGTGGCCAGGCAGTACTCACGTTTCTTCCGTTCTTCCTCTGGCTGCAGAAGTGTCCAAATATCAATGATTCTGTCCAATCCAAACGATTTAATCCCCTGAAAAAAGTTTGCTGGTGAAATTTTGGGCATCTTTGCATTTTTTGTCTTTGTTACTGTTGTTAATAAGACAAAGTAAAGAGGATGTACAGGTGGGATTGCGAAATGAGCTGGCTTCTTGGAACCGACTCTCAAACTGCACCCAGAGCATAAATGCAACGAGCTTTTGTGTGTGCACACAGGCAAGAAGGGCATGCACTTTTTTTTAAGAGAGCAGGGAAAAAGGTCCGCGGTCCTTGCTGGGCCTTACTTTACAGGACTCGCTGGAGCTGAACAGCCAGGGGGAGCATCTCCCAGCTCAGATGCAGGACAGTCACCCCAACTCCTGCGTGCAGGATAAGTCTGAGCGCATGGGGCACTTTCATCAGCTCTGTGTGTGGGTGAGGTTTCCATGTGAGAGCGGAGGACAGACACGCACTCCTACCCCAATCAAGTGAATCCGGGCAGGCACCTCTCCCTCTGTGACCCGGACGGCCTCGTCAAACACGTTGGCGTTGGTGCGGGACAGAAGAGCCACCTGCCCCTTTGTGTCACCCCGGATGCCACCTTGAGGGAGAGAGCACAAACTCTGGGGGAGATCCAGGCAACGAGGTAAGCTAATCTGTGTAACAAACACGAGGAACTGCAGCCTTACTCTGATGGTTGCCTCCAACCAATGTCTTCTTTCTCACTCGCTTGCAGACATCCAAGATGGTAGCTCCCACGTAGGCTATCTCCACACCGAACCGGAAACTCTGGGAGAAGAACAGAACAGACGGTGTTAGCACCCACCAAAGAATGAGAACACACTGCTGTCACCAACGAGGTCTGGCCTCTCCAAATCCCGCTGCGCATCCCTGATTCGCCCAACCTTGAAAGGGTCCTTGGAAATTCCCTACTGCACAGCCACTTACATGGAACAGGAGCCTCATAGGCAGACATCACTATTCTAAGTTTTCAAAACAGCATTTTCTATCTTGAAACCTGAGACTGACCTATCTGTCTTTACCTCTTGCCCCTGAATCCAAACTCTGACAATCTTTTCACCACATTTTCTACACTCTCTTATCGCTGCTCCCAGCATTAACTCAGAAACCCCCGCCTCCTGTCTCACCTGCCTGGCCTCCAACCCCCTCCCTTGCCCCTTCTCTCTGCCAGATGAGTCCTCCGCCACACACTTTCATAAAGCCCTGTGCCTCGCCACAAACAGGAAGAGTAACCCATGAAGAAAGAGGTGGGGTGTGGACTCTCAGGACTCTCTCAGCCCCTTTGTTTCCTGAAACCAGCAGCAGACTTTCCTTTTAAGCAAATCCCTCATTCTTTCCAAACACCACCTAAAGCAGCAGCATAAATCACATAAATTACACACAGAAGATCAAGGCCCCACCCCGTGAGGCTCCTTCAACACCAATGTGAAGCCACTGCCCCAATGAGGAAGGCACGGCTTCTGCAATGCTTGGCCACAGATGACATGAAAGTGGATGTTACGACACACAGCATTACCCACAGCTACTCCTTACTGCACCGAGCACAGTGTTTCTCGGGAAAAAATAAATAAATAAAACCACTGCTCTACTTAACAAGCCGTGAGAAAGATCACCAAGTCCTGAGCATTTCCTGCCTTCTCCCCGTCCCCGCCCACTGCATGTGGCAAAACAATTTCCTACCCTTCGAAGCAGCACCCAATGCATTAATTCCTTGACCTCTGCAGCTGGAAAGTCAGTGCTTTTGCCCAAACTCATGGTGTTTACCACCTTTTCCCAACCCATTTATAACTTGAGGTAAAGAAGTACTACATATTTGGGTGACCAGGAAGAACACAGTCGAAGGAGAGTGAGATTTTCAACAAGCAGTACTCTGCTGTTACAGAACTATTCTAAGTGGTGCTTCTTCAGAGTTGATCAGTTGTGTCCGACTCTTTGCGACCCCATGGAATGCATACACCAGGCTTCCCTGTCCTTCACCGTCTCCCGGAGTTTGCTCAAACTCATGTCCATTGAGTTGGTGATACCTTCTAACCAACCATCTCGTCTTCTGTCGTCCCCTTCTCCTCCCACCTTCAATCTTTCCCAACATCAGGGTCTTTTCCAGTGAGTCAGCTCTTCCCACCAGGTAGCCAAAGTATTGGAGTTTCAGCTTCAGCATCAGTCCTTCCAATGAATATTCAGGGCTGATTTCCTTTAGGATGGACTTGTTTGATCTCCTTGCAGTCCAAGAGACTCTCAAGAGTCATCTCGAATACCACAGTTCAAAAGCATCAATTCTTCGGCACTCAGCTTCTTTATGGTTGAACTCTCACATCCATACATGACTACTGGAAAAACCACAGCTTTGACTAGATGGACCTTTGCCAGCAAAGTAATGTTTCTGCTTTTTAACATGCTGTCTAGGTTGGTCATAGCTTTTCTTCCAAGGAGCAAGTGCCTTTTAATTTCATGGTTGCAGTCGCCATTTGCAGTGATTCTGGAGCCCAAAAAAATAAAGCCTGTCATTGTTTCCCCATTTAGTTGCCATGAAGTGATGGGATCTGATGTGATGATCTTTGTTTTTTGAATGCTAAATTTTAAGCCAGCTTTTTCACTCTCCTCTCTCATTTTCATCAAGGGACTCTTTAGTTCTTTGCTTTCTGCCACAAGGGTGATATCATCTGCATATCTGAGGTTATTGATATTTCTCCCAGCAATCTTAGCTTGTGTTTCATCCAGCCCAGCATTTTTCATAATGTGCACAGCATGTAAGTTAAGTAAGTAGGGTGACACTATACAGCATTGATGTACTCCTTTCCTGATTTGGAACCAGTCTGTTGTTCCATGTCTGGTTCTAATTTTTGCTTCTTGACCTGCATAAAGGTTTCACAGGACGCAGGTCAGGTGGTCTGGTATTCCCATCTCTTTCAGAATTTTCCACACAAATTTATTGTGATTCACACAATCAAAGGCTTTAGCATAGTCAAGAAGCAGAAGCAGATGTTTTTCTGTAATTCTCTTGCTTTTTCTATGATCCAACAATCATAGGATGTTGGCAATTTGATCTCTGGTTCCTCTGCCTTTTCTAAATCCAGCTTAAACATCTGGAAGTTCTCGGCTCACATACTGTTGAAGCCTAGTTTGCAGGATTTTGAACATTCCTTTGCTAGCATGAGAAATGAGTGCAACTGTGCAAAATTTTCCAAATTTGCTGGCATACTGAGTGCAGCACTTTCACAGCATTATCTTTTAGGATCTGAAATAGCTCAGCTGGAATTCCATCACCTCCACTAGTTTTGTTTGCAGTGATGCTTCCTAAGGCCCACTTGACTTCGCACTCCATGAGGTCTGGCTCTAGGTGAGTGATCACACCATCACGGTTACATGGGTCATTAAGATCTTTCTTGTATAGTTCTGTGTACTCTTGCTCTTCTTAATCTCTTCTGCTTCTGTTAGGTCCATACCATTTCTGTCCTTTATTGTACTCATCTTTGTAAGAAATGATCCCTCTTTATTGCCAATTTTCTTGAAGAGATCTCTAGTCTTTCCCATTCCATTGTTTTCATCTATTTCTTTGCATTGTTCACTTAGGCTTTCTTGTCCCTCCTTGCTATTCTTCAGACCTCTGCATTCAGATGGATATATCTTTTTTCCTTTGCCTTTTGCTTCTCTTCTTTTCTCAGCTATGTGTAAGGCCTCCTCAGACAATCATTTTGCCTTTTTGCATTTGTTTTTCTTAGGGATGGTTTTGATCACCGCCTCCTGTACAATGCAATGAACCTCCATCCATAGTTCTTCAGGTACTCTAGCAGATTCAATCCCTTGAATCTATTTGTGACTTCCACTGTATAATCGTAAAGGATTTGATTTAGGTCATACCTGAATGGCCTAGTGGTTTTCCCTACTCTGTTTAAGTCTGAATTTTGCAATATGAGTTCATGATCTGAGCCACAGTCAGCTCCCAGTCTTATTTTTGCTGAGAGCTTCTCCATCTATATAGAGTTTCTCTTCTATATAGAGCATCTATAGAGCTTCTCCATCTTTGCCTGCAAAGAATATAATCAATCTGATTTTGGTATTGACCATCTGGTCATGTCCATGTGTAGAGTTGTCTCTTATGCTGTTGGAAGAGGGTGTTTGCTATGACTGGTGCATTCTCCTGGCAAAACTCTGTTCGCCTTTGCCCTGCTTCATTTTGTACTCAAGGCAAACTTTCTGGTTACTCCAGGTATCTTTTGACTTTTTACCTTTGCATTACTATCCCCAATGATGAGGCTTCCCTGAAAGTTCGGTTGGTAAAGAATCTGCCTGCAATGCAGGTGACCCGGTTTGATTCCTGAATCGGGAAGATCCGCTAGAGAAGGGATAGCCCACGCCAGTATTCCTGGGCTTCCCTAGTGGCTCAGCTGGTAAAGAATCTGCCTGCAATGCGGGAGACCAAGATTAGATCCCTGGGTTGGGAAGATTCCCTGGAGAAGGGAAAGGCTACCCACTCCAGTATTCTGGCCTGGATAATTCCATGGACTGTATATTCCATGGGGTCACAAAGAGTCGGACACGAGTGAGTGACTTTTACTCACCCCTATGATATAAAGGTGTGTTCTAAAAGGTCTTGTAGGTCTTCATAGAACTGGTCAACTTTAGCTTCTTTGGCATTAGGGGTTGGAGCAGAGACTTGGATTACTGTGATACTGAATGGTTTGCCTTGGAAACTAAGAGAGCTCATTCTGTTGTTTTTAAGACTGTACCCAAGTATTGCATTTCAGACTCTTTTGTTGACCAAGAGGGCTACTCCCTTTCTTCTAAGGGCTTCTTGCCCATGGTAGTAGATATAATGGTCATCTGAATTAAATTTGCCCATTCTGGTCCATTTTAGTTCACCGATTCCTAAAATGTCGATGTTTTCTCTTGCCATCTCCTGTTTAACCGCTTCCAATTTACCTTGATTCATGGACCTAATGCTCCAAGTTCCTGTGCATATTGCTCTTTACGGTGTCGGAGTTTACTTCCACCACCAGACACACCAAAAACTGGGTGCTGTTTCCACTTGGGTTCAGTGTCCACAGTCCTCCTGGAGCTATTTCTCCACCCTTCTCCAGCAGCACACTGGGCACCTACTGACCTGGGGAGCTCATCTTTCAGGGTCCTATCTTTTCACCTTTTCATACTGCTCATGGGGTTCTCCACTCCACCATCTTGATGTTTCCTATTCTAAGTGAGCCATCCCCAAATTATCAAGATCCACAAGTCCATACTGATACAAACAAATACATGAATGAATAAATAAACTGAAGAGAAGACACAGTATCTCCTTCACAGAAGAATTCCAAACAATCTATGTGGCTATTTCAACTCTTGGTCTTAACTGAGGGCTGCGAGCCGTGACTTCCTTTCAGGGCACACAGTGTGGAAAGGGGAGACGGAGGTGGGGGTGGGGGGGTCACTTCACGGTAGAGTCACCTGCCACACCCCAGCTCAGCCATGCCAAGACAACGTCATCAGCTGTAAATCATGTTGATGGTATGGACCCAAGTATCAGTGTAACCACCAGACAAATGCCAGCAGAGGCGCATGTGACAAGACGCCTAGCTGGTGCCCTTCAAGGTCACCAGGCCCGAGGCAAGCCTGCGAAACCAGAGCACAGGCAGCAGGAGCCTGGAGGACCCGACAACTAAAGGCAGCAGGTCACCTGAGTGAGATTCTGGAACAGGGAAAGGACATTTGGTAAGAACCAGGGAATCTGAATAAACTGTGGAGTTCAGTTGATAATAATGTGCCCACACTGACATGTTAACTGTGGCAAACTCATCATCCGAGTACTGGAGGACGCTGAGTGCAGCGTGTTTAAGAACTGTCCGTGCTGTCTTCTCAACTTTTATTCCAAATCTGAAACTAAAAACGTCCATTAAAAAAAAAATTCCTCTGCGCTGACGTCATCCTAGATCGCTAGAGCAAACAATAAGAGAAAGCCTGGGAACAGGGTCACAGACTGGGCTCCCAGGCTCCCCACTGTGAGCAGAACCCACGGTGCGGACGACGTCCGTGTGTCGCCACCGCTCATGTTCTCTAACTGGGAGCTTCCTAAAAGCAGTGATTCCCACAGATTTCCGCCTCAGGACTTCCTCATACTTCAGAAAACTAGCGAGGACCCAAGGAAGCTTGTATTTAGGTGAGTTTTATCTATCTACAATTACCACATTAGTAATTTTAGTTTATTTAAACATTAACAACAATAATCTCGTTACATGATAACACAAAGTACCTATTTTTCAAAAACTGTAGTCTCCCCCCACCCAAAAAAATTTAGAGACAAAAGCGGCACTGCTTTTACATTTTAGCAAATGTCTTTAGTTTCCAGCTTAAGAGAGAAGAGCCGATTCTCGGGGCTCTGTGGGTGTCCAGCCTGGTGTGATGGCTTCACACAGCCGTGTGCTGAAAACAGTGGAGTATTTAAAGCCTTTCCGGGCAATCAAGGCTACAGGGGTTGCCGTGCTCCTGCTGGAAACTAGTTTTTCAAAGTCTGGATTTCACTTGAAAACAAGACTTTTTTTTGGCAATGAACATGTGTTAGCTATTCCCCTTGAAGACGCAGCTTGTCGCATTCATTCTTGAGAAAATGCCAAATCTCCAAGTCTGAACAACCAGAGTTGGGTCTGTCGACTGTTTATTCAAGCACAAATGGAAGCAGCAGCCGGTGGAGCTCACAACACAGTCACAGAAGTGCCCCCGGTGAGAGAGCAGCCGGCACACCGCAGGGGCAGGAGGATGTCCCTCTACTTCCCACTTCCGCACATGGACTGCTGGAGAGACGGGCTCAGGGTTTGCAGGACAGAAACTTTCTTTCCTCTGTTATCACGGATGCTCTTAGTGAGCGCCTTGCGTTGAAGAATACAGAGACTACAAGGGCGGGCTGGAGCTGAGGCCATGGCTCACTACCACCTCTGCATCATCAGTGCAAATGTCAATACGGCGCAAAGGCAAGTGACTATTTTGAAAACTGTTCTGATTCTGCAGACCCCCAAGAACCACGGAGAGCCCCTACTTAGAGGTGTGGATCTGCTGCACACTGTGAGCTCAGACAAAACCTTGCACAGGCAGCACTGGAAAACCGGGGTGGGGAGCCCCACCCAGGCTTGTGTGTATATTGTGTGTATGTACACGCATTTGGGGGCTGGGAAGCAGAGACAGTCTTACCTGTGTGAGATAGAAGACATGCGTGTGAGGGACCGTGAAGAGAGCATTGACGGCGCCGCGGAAGGTGTAGATCTGCTGGTGGGGGTCTCCCACAAAGATCTTCCCACAGGGCTGAGACAGAACTATGTTCATGATGGCTGCAATCCAAAGGGGCAAGTAAGCGCTCTGACACAAGGCCCACTCACACAGCAAAAAGAAACCAAATGGGAGACAGGAAAAGGACAAGAACACCTGCACACTGGATGGCAGGGTATCCTTCCCTGCAGGGTACATGCACACAGTCCAAGGAAACAGTTTTCATTCATGTATTTATTTCTGGACATGCTGTGAAGCATGTGAGATCTTAGTTCCCGACTAGGGATTGAATCCGCGTCCCCTACAGTGGAAGTACAGTGTCCTAACCATGAACCATCCACAAGTCCCAAAGAAACAAGCTTGTAACAGACAAATGGTTTCTAATCCTATGAATGCAGATTATTTTTACTCCTGAATATGTGATTGTGTCTAAGAAATCATAAAAGCAAATATAAAATGACGCCAATTATCCTCTTTAATATAATAACTTGGGGCCTAAAGATGACCTACCAAGTCACACTATTTTCTATCAGCCACTAGGAAAAAAAATACATTGTTCACTCTGAATTGACTACCTTTTCCCTTCAGCATGAGTCTTTGTTCTAATAATGTGATGACCTAGGCTCAGCGAATATTTTAAGAATAACCCAAGCAAATATTTAGAGGAAAATAAGTCTCCTCTGGGTGGAGGTGGGGGCAGAGATGTGGGGGACTGTTGAAAGCTGGAGTCAAAGAGTAAAGGATTTCAAAGTGACTAAGCATCAGACACCCCTCCTCCTACTATAGATAAGAACCACAGACTTACTGCACACACGTCCTCTGACACATGCGTGATGCAGTTTCTATGTGTTTGAGAGTACTGGTGTCCTGAATGCTTTATTACCTGGGGTGCAGTCCTGGGCCTCGTCCACAAAGATGGCGTCAAAAGAGGCCAGCAGGGGCTTGCTAAGCTGCCAGAGTTTCAAGTAGCCTAGAAGGGGCAAAAGAGTCAGAACATGGGATGAGGTGGGTCCACGTGCGGTCAGGGGTCAGGACAGGGCCATGTGTACCATCGTGCGTCATATGGTAAGCCTCTTCCTTGCACTCGCCCAGCTTCCGCATGTTGTCCCAAAGCCGGCTTGCTTCGAGGACTCCATTCTAGAAAGCAAGTGACATGGTGACGCTGAAGTCAGGGCCCAGGAATAAGGGGTTCACGCGCACGTGCAAGGGTCAGAGCAAAGGCTCTATCACATGGTGAGTGGCGCCCCGTCCCTGACCTACCCCGGCTGCATGAGGGCCTCATGACATCATCAGGTGCCCAGACGGCAAGCAGCCGGGGGCTGGACCACACCCAGCGGCAGAGCATCTCTCAGGGAGCACAGCATCCAATGAATCAGGAGAGGCTGGATGATTCCTCTAAATTTATAACCCACAATGACTATAATTCATAAGAAGAGTGGCCAGGGACTTCCCTAGCAGTCTGGAGATGAGGGCTCTGTGCTTCCACTACACGGGGCACATGCTAGATCCCTGGTCAGGGAACGAGGATCCCACAGGCTGTGCAGTGGGAGTGAGAAAAAAAAAAAATGGCCAATGATTGAAAAGAATTGATAAAAATTAGAAGAGAGATACTTTATCCTTAGATCCGAGGATGAGCAGACCCCATGCTGAGCTCTGATAACCCTGGCAGGAGCCCTGTCAATGCAGTGCAGGCCAGGCTGAGGACCAGGGCAGAGGACCACACTTCACAGAAGACCCTGGACACCCTGCTGCCACACCGCCCTGTGGCCTCCCTCCGCCTCTGCCTCCTGCCAGCAGCTCTGAAGACACCAAAGGCTGGGACAACCCGACCCAGGTCACGCCCTCATCCTCCCAAGCCTTGACTCCAGGGAGACTGAGCTGCTCACCAGCTTTTCGCTCTGTTCAACCATGACTCGTTGCCCCTGGCTGTTCTTGCACCAGATAGGCACATGGTCGATTGTCAGCTCCTCGTCGGCTGAGGCGAAGAAGTTTTCCAGAGTCTTGCACACGAGCTTGGCCCTGATGAAGCCACCCTTCCCTTCAGTGAGGACGGAGTTGACCATGAAGGGGGTTAACTTGAAGAGATTCAGTTTCTTCTTCAACTGGTACCTGCAACACACGTCCCGAGGGCACAGGGTCAGCCTTCCTGGCCACACAGGACTTGTGTTCCCCCGGGCCTTGCCCCCTTCTCTTCAAATGACACCACCAGGTTGCGGGCAGTGGCTCCTCCAGGTGAGGAAACAAGCTGAGGGGCTGAATGAGGTTCTTGTAGGACCAGAAGGAGCTCCTCTATGCTTTCAGAATTCAGATCTAATAACCGAGGAGACAAAGGGGCTCACAGCAGACACCACTGTTTCATGGTGTGGACCCAACTCCAGGAGGCCCTGGGGGGACCAGGAACCTCCCTACAGCCTTCTCACCCCATGGGGCGCGGCTCAGAGGCCCTGGAGCCTGGGTCTAGCACCCCTCAGCCCCATCCTCTCTCCTGGTGCTTCCGAGCAAAACCTGAACTGATCAACCAGGCTGGTGGTGCCTGGAACTTCAGACATGTCATCTGACCTGTGCCTCAACTTCAGAGACATGAGCATGCCTCCCTCAGTTAACAATGTATCTCTGTGGGGTAAAAGTATAAATCACTAAATCTTTCCTTATATTCCTTGCCTGTAAACGGAGATAAGGCACTATGTTTTCCCCTGTCACTGTGGTGCGCTGACTGCAATGTGAAAGCGGCACTGTGATGCTCACTTGCGCCCGATGTGACCATAGGCCATGGAGTGGAAGGTCTTGCAGATGACGTTGCTGGGGAAGACGAGCTCCGCCTGCTTGGCGATACTCTTGTTGAAAGTCACGTATAGAAACCTGCTCTGAGACCACTTCTCAGCGTACTTGACCAGTGTGGAGGTCTTCCCGGTGCCTGGAGACGCCAAGAGGAAGGGAGGTCACCCTCTGACCAGGAAGAACTGCTCCAACGGCACTGTAATCAGAATCTTCCCATGCTTATCTTGCCACTGGCCCGGGACCCGACAGTGGCAAGTTCTCCAGTACAGATGAGAACTAAAAGCCATGCAGTGAAGGGATCAGCAGAGTTGAGAAAGAGCCACTGGGTTGGGGTCGCAGCCCCAGCTGCTCCAGCGAGGGGCCCACTGACTTCCTTGAGCTTCAGTCTGCTCCTCAACCGTGTGCACGGAATACACAGGGAGAAAAAGCAGTACAAGCAAGGGTCAGGCAAAAGGTGACCAAGTACTTTAGGAGCCAGCTAGCACAATTAGCTGACCGAGGCAAAACACTGGACCACACCTCTGGGGATGCAGGTTAGAATTAGAAGGTAGAAGCTCTTCTAGGTTTCACCCTACAGAAAGCCAGGAACTCCTGACATTGTCTGAACAAGACAGTCACACGACCTGCTGCCCCACAGCCACCCGTGTATGAGCAGACATGATGACACATAACAGGCTGAGTCAGTCCCACAAACTATGGGCCATCTGCCCCCAGGAACTCCAGGGTGGACACTCCCTGGAGTGGTAAGAAAACACAATTATTCCTTGACAACTATTTTTTAGATGATTTAATTGCAGAAGCAGAATAACAGATAATGGTAAGATATTTCAGCAGGTAGAGGGAAGGGGCAGGCATCGATGAGAGGCCTTCAGGAACGGCAGCCCCTTACCTGCAAATGCCATTATTTTCACCACCTGGAGAGGCTCCATCTTATGGCTTAGGATCAGCTGCTGTTCATGTGTCAGCTGGATGGTTGTTTTCTTTCTAATCATTAGAGAAGAGAAATTAGGAAAAGCGCAAGGAACTGAAAAGATCGGGTGACAGACTACCAAAACCCAAACAGGAAACCAAATGGAATAAGTAAAATTTAATGAGGAAAAAAAAAAGAAGGGACTTTCCTGGTGGCGCAGTGGATAAGAATCTAACTGCCAATGCAGGAAACACAAGTTCGCTCCCCGGTCCCGGAAGATCCCACAGGCCATGGAGCAACTAAACCTATGAGCCACAGCTATTAAGCCTGCGCTCTAGAGCTGCAAGTAATAACTCCCGAGTCTAAGTGCCTAGAGCCCGGGGTTCCGCAACAAGAGAAGCCAGCACAATGAGAAGCCTGCACATCGTAACCGAAGAGTAGGTCCTGCTCACTGCAACTAGAGAAAAGCCTGTGCAGCAGTGAAGACCCAACACAGCCAAAAATTTTAAACATAAAATTATTTTAAAAAAAGAATGCTCTCTTCTTTAAGAAAAAGAGAAAAAGGAGAGGGTGGTCCTTTAGAGTGATAAAAATGTTCTAAAACTAGATTATGATGTCAGCTGAACACTCAGTAAATCTACTAAAAATTACTGAATTATACAATTAAAATGGGTGATTTTTATGTAATGTAAACTATAACTCAATAAAGTGCTTAAGAGGACAACACACCACAACACATCTACAGATGGACGTACCCCGGCCAGACGGACGGTTCCTCTTTGTCTCCTGAGGCCTGAGTACAGGAATTCTCCTGAAGATACAGGCAATAGAAAATGTTGTAGTGAATCCTAACAGGAAGAAAAGAGATTAGAGATTTTCAAATTCAGTCACAACCTGTATCTTATTTTTCCTCAGACTCCTAACCGTTGCTAAAAAGAAAACATGTACCGTTATTTTACCAAAAAAAAAAAAAGAGAGAGAGAGAAGCAAAGGGCTTAAATATACCAAGAGCTGAGGTGTATTCAGCTGCACTGTTGGAGCTAAGTAGCAGTGCAGGTAAATACCTGGAGAGCACGTTCTGGGAGAGAGGCCTGGCTGCAGGGGCCAGAGGAGAGACTGGCACGTGCCCTCTGGGGGACAGCACGCAGCCGCGAGCGTGCACGCGGCCCCGGGACGGCGCGAGACCGAAGGGCGCCTCCTGCCCCCGGGGCGCGCTCCGGCCTCTCGGAGAGGCCGGGGCACGGGGCGCGCGGGGCCCGCCCGGGCCCGTTACCGGTTGCTGATGCTGATCCCCTTCTCCCGCATGGCGTAGAGCAGCACAGCGATGCAGTACAGGGTCTCGGTGGCGTCCGGCACCGTCACGGTGGAGCTGGGCCGCCGCAGGCAGAAGAGCAGCTGCTGGATGTCGCTGACGCTGCTGGACAGGAGGACGATGGCGGCCACCAAGGCCCACACGTTGACGCCCTGAGGAGGGAGGCGGAGAGGGCGAGAGAAGAGGCCCGAGGCACAGTCGGCGAGAAGCGCACGGGACGGCAATGAGGAAAGCCAGGCTCAGGGTGCACGTGTCTCCTACAAGCCCTCTGCAAGGGGGCCAACTTCCCAAAGGACACTTGGGAAACAACGGGAACGTCTCCCCTCACCCTGGATTCTTTCCTTCTCATCACTTCTGGATCTGACTTCTTATATTAGGGACTTATAACATTTATAATATAAGACCCTGCACAGAGGTTATCCACACCCTTCCCACTCAGGTCAGCGTGAGCTCTCAGGTCCAGACACTCGAGTCCACAAGCTTACTTATGTGCCAAAAAGGGCAGGTAAAAAGAAAACAGCAGTCTTTACAGAGAAATCAAGGCTGACAATTCAATGGCATGAAAATGTTAATTTACTACTGGCCTTCTCTGGTGGCTCAGTGGTAAGGAATCCACTTGCCAATGCAGGAGACACGGGTCTGATCCCTGATCCAGAAAGATCCCATATGCCGCGGAGCAGCTAAGCCTGTGTGCCTCAATTGCTGAGCCTCTGCTCTGGAGCCTGTGAGCAGCAACTATTTAAGCCCACTCGCCAGAGAGCCTGTGTGCCACAAGAGAAGCCACTGGAATGAGAGGGCTGAGCATCACAACTGGAGAGTAGTCCCCGCTTGCTGCAACTAAAGAAAAGCCCGTGCAGTAATGAAGACCCAGCACAGGCTAAAAAAATAAAATTTTAAAAAAGAAATGGTAGTTTACTACTTACTTTACATTACGATTATTTAATAACTTATTAATGGAACTTCCCTGGTGGTCCAGTGGCTAAGACTCTGCACTCCCAATGGCAGAGGCCTGGGGTTGGTTCCTGATCAGGGAACCAGATCGTCATGACGCAGCTAAGAGTTCACAAACCAAAACTAAAGATCCCACATATTGCAACTAAGACCCCATGCAGCCAAATAAATTTAGAAAGCTTTTAAAAAAAAGATAAGTAAAATTTTAAAAAACATTTATTAAATACTAAGTTTAATAAATAGCAAATAAATTATTGCAAGTGTATGATTAGGGACACAGTATGCTCCATTTATTAATGTCTGAGAAAACGTTCACTAACATGGAAATATAAAAAATAGTCAGATAACCACTATTCTTAACTCCTTGCAAGTCTCCCTGTTAAAAATACATCCACAAAAGGAAAGTTCTGCACATTTCTCACTATAACTGTTTTGTGAAACAAACCTCACTCTACCATCGATAGCCACTTCACTAAAGGAAGAGAAATGCACAGGGCTAGATTTCCAACCCTCCACTGGTGCAGAATGAGGCTAGGGTTGCACGTGGTTTCCAAGAGATCATTTAAGAAGAACACTTGATCTAGATGACAATTCCAGAAGATGGATTCAGGACACTCAGGACTATTCCCAGCATCTCATTAACTCACCATATGTCAGTACAAAGCCCATCATTTCTCCAGGCTTCCCTTGTGGCTCAGCTGGTAAAGAATCCAACTGCAATGCATGAGATCTGGGTTCAATCCCTAGGTTGGGAAGACGCCCTGGAGAAGGGAAAGGCTACTCCAATACTCTGGCCTGGAGAATTCCATGGACTGTATAGTCCATGGGGTCGCAAAGAGTCGGACCCGACTGAGCAACTTTCACTTTCAGAAAACACAAGTTGTCACCAATACAATGGGCTGGCTTGTAAAGAAACTCTTACAATCAAAGTGTTTGGAGGCTAGGTGACCATCCTCTGTTGAAACTGCTCAACAGAACAGAAAACTGGATGAAATGCTTTTAAAAATTCCTTCCAAATTAAATAATCTGTGGCCATTTATTTCTCTATGGAACCAATGACAAAGATTAGAGATTTACAGAAAAAATTTAAAATAAATCTAAATCAACCTTCAGCCACACCTGACCACCAAGACATTTTCTTCCAAAGAGGAAAGGCAACGCCTCCCCAGCCCTCCCCACAGCCTCCCCCAGCCCTCCCCACAGCCTCTTCACGTACGGCAGGGGCAGCATAGAGGTCAGGGAGGTGTTGGCGCACGCAGGCCTCTGCCTCGGGGAGGAGGAGGTGATCCCTCAGACTCCACAACGCCTGTCCAGGGTCCACACTCGGGGAGCACTTCGTGGTGGCTGTGTAGCTGTTAAGACATTCACAGCAGTGTCCGTGGGAAAATGATCCATTAAGTGCTGATCTCTCAGAAAGGATTTCAGAAACCACTTCCTCCCACAGGACGGTGACTTACCGGATGAGGTTCAGCACGCACAGGTCCGACTCCTTCTCTATGCCGTAGCTCGACAGGATGCCATCCACCTTGCTGACGGCTTGCTCTTCATTCATCAGGTATCGGTGATACAGCTTTTTCCAAGGAATGAACTAGACAGTTTAAGAAATCCAAAACGACATGCAGGCAATGGCTGTTAGAGAGCAGACCAGGCTACAGACATTGCTTAGAGAACAACTATAGCTCACAACTCAAAAGCTGGACAAAAGGGCAGAAACATTACACAAATTCTAGTTGAAAATGAGGAGAAGGTGGGTCTCAGTTTCCTGGTTCCAACACCAACTTGTTACAGAATCTGGGGAGAGGTAGAGCTTCAGCTTTCCTGTCTGAAACAGAGTTTAGTGCCTGTCGAGAGACTAATGACTCAGTTTCAACTAGCACTAAACAACATGAGAGCTGCAGCTGTACTAATATTAAACAGACTTTCAGTCAAAAATTTTAGAACAAAGAAGATTATATGAGGATAAAAGGGTCAATTCACCAAAGAGATATAGTAATTATAAATACATATGTACCAAATATCAAAGTCCTAAATCTAGGAAGCACATATGGGCAGAACTAAAGAGAGAAACAGACAACAGGAGACTTTGATGCTCCACTTTCAAGAACGGATAGCACAAACACCACTAGTCCAATTGAACCTAACTGACACATAAAGAACAGTCTACCCAACAACAATATACAATCTTCTCAAGTACACATAGAACATTTTCCAGGATAGGTCATGTATGAGGCCAGGAAATAAGTCTTAATCCATTTTAAAAGACTGAAATTATAGAAAGCATATTTTTCAGTCACTACAGCATGAAACTAGAAATTAGTAGCAGAAAGAAAACTGGAAAACCCACAAATATGAGAAAATTAAACAACACATTTTTAAAGCAACCAATGGGTCAAAAAGGAAATCACAAAGAAATTAGAAAACACCCTAAGACAAATAAAAACACAGGTATCAAAATGTATGGGATGAAATGCAAGCAATGCTAAGAGTTAAGTTTATAGCTATAAAAATTACATTAAAAAAGAAAGATCACAAATCAACAACCTAAATTTACACCTAAAGGAACTAGAAAAAGAACAAACTAAATCCAAAACTAGCAGAAGGAAGGAAATAAAAGAGACTATAGAGGAGAAATAAATGAAATAAAGATTAGAAAAATAGGGGGGAAAAATCAATAAAACTAATAAGAGTTTTTTTAAAAAGATCAACAAAATTGACAACCATAAGATACATTATGGAAAAAAGGGAAGATTTAAATAACCGAAATCAGAAATGAAGGAGGAATGTTACAACTGATGTCACAGAAATAAGAAGGGCTATAAGAGTACTTCAAATAATTGCAGGTCAGCCAACCAGATACTCTAGAAGAAATGAATAAATCCCTAGGAACACACAACATACCAAGACCGAATTATGGAGAGACAGAAAACCTGAACAGATCAATAAGGAGCCCTCCAGGCTCCTCCATCCATGGGATTTTCCAGGCAAGAATACTGGACTGCGTTGCCATTTCCTGGTCCAGGGGAATCTTCCCGACCCAGGGACTGAACCTGGGTCTCCTGCACTGCAGACCAGCTTTTTACCATCTGAGCCACCAGGGAAGCTCAATGAGTAAGGAGACTGGATCAGTCATCAAGTCTCCCAAAAAGGAAGCATCCAGGACCAGATTGCTTCACTGAAAAATTATACTGAACATTTAAAGAAGTAGTATCAATCCCCCTCAAATTCTTCAAAATAACTGAAGAGGAGGGAGCACTCCAGACTTATTCTGAGGCCATCATAGCCTTATACCAAAGGTAGACAAAGATACCACAAGAAATAAAAAGAAAATGAGAGCTATGACAAGGTCACTGAAAGTAACACCATCATGTCACTGCTGGTGATGATAAAAAGAGCATTGTTCTAACATTTCAAGACATAAGAATAAGCTGGGATATCTTCCCAAAATCTTGTCAAGCAGAATGGCAGGAACCCTCACTTATCCCCATTTCCCACCAGAGACCTTAATCAAGTGCCCAGAAATACTAACCCCCAAAAAAGTTCACAACTAAAAACAGATATTTGTCTGAAAGTAGGAGACAAGACCCCCAAGCAAAATATGGAGCAAGAGCGATGAGAAATTTCCTCCAAAATCCTTTGGGCTTGGAAGAGAAATGTACTAACTCTTAACATATCCATCTTGCCCTCCATCTCCAAGGTTTTCAACTTCTCACTCGGTAAAGAATCTGCCTGCAATGCGGGAGACCTGGGTTTGATCCCTGGGTTGGTTAGATCCCTTGGAAGAGAGCATGGCAACCCACTCCAGTATCCTTGCCTGGAGAATCCCATGGACAGAGGATCCTGGTAGGCTATAGTTCATGGGGTCAAAAAGAGCTGGACGCAACTGAGTGACTAAGCACACACATTTGAAGAATGGGTTAAACTCTCTACCTCTGGCTTATTCCCAACGGCTGGTCTAAAGGACACACTAGCTAAGCAGAACATTCTCCGAGCCCTCAGACTTCCTGGAGACCTGAACCTGGGAAGTCTAATGACACAACAAAGGGAAGCACAGGCTGTGGGCTAACGGTACCAGAAAATCCTTTCTGAGAGCGTGGGTTGCCCCTGTGTCATTCTCAGAGGGTATTCCTGTGACAACATGAAACACTCATTTAGCAATCACCTCCTATTAATATATGTAAACTATTGTGAGACACAGTGGAACACAGAGTGGAGAATGCACAAACAGGACAATCAGCCCTCCAGCAATGCTCTAATGTTAAATGGAGGAGGAAGGCTCTCTAAGATCATAGCAGAACATCACAGGCTTGAACAGAGGTATAAATCACTATAATAGTGTGAGGAAGAGACAGAAAGAGGGTGACTTCCGTGGGATGGAACAGAGAAGAGGAGTTACTTGGAGTGCAGCCTGGAAGAGGTGAGATGTCAACAGAGATATGAGGGACTCTTTGGGCTGCTCGGCTGTGGGGTACAGATTAGATCAACATAAGGGAAGTATCACACAGTCCACAGCTGGGAGGCAGCACACCATGTCCTGCAGACAGAATACCAGGGTGGACTGGAGAAAAGTCAGCGGTGAGCCTGGAATAAATAATAAGGTGGGACACACACGGACGGTCTCAGGTGCCTCCAGGGGTTGGGATTCGATTCTAGAGGACAACGGACACTAACATTTCTGAAGAAACGCCACCGTCAGGAGGACGCGTTAAGCGAGGCGAATCCGTGAAGACTTAGAGCAAACATCAGAGAACGAAGAGCACGTTCCATACCAGCGGGTCACGGATGACCTCCCTCCAGAGGTGGCACACCAAGCTCAGGCTCCAGTAGAGGTCTTCCATGGGCAGGAAAGCAAAGATGTGCCTCAGGACCTCGCTGGGCAGGCTGCAGATGTGGCTCGGGGGCTCCTGGCTGGGCAAGGTCCCAAGGAGCCCATAGTGAGAGTCGGGCACGGGGTCCGGGCCAATGTCCTCCACCTCCTGGCTGGGTTCTCCAGGCTGCACGCTGAGCTGCCCCACCCCGACCTCTGCTTCCGGCCTGGCTTCCCTGGGCTGTGTGCACAATGGGGACGAGTGACGCCATGGGGTCTTCTTGGACACCCCATCCCACGGACTGGTCCCTGGGGCTGGATTCCTCTCGTCCTCTAAGGACCGAGACCGCTTCCTTGCAGGCAAAGCGGACTCTGGCGAGTGCAGCCTGGCTTCTCCGTCTACACCCGGAGGCAGGGCACAGGGGCTTCCTGCCGCGAAGATCATTTCATCCTCTGAGTCCTTAGAGCTGTCCTGGCCCACAGAATTGCTTTTGGCCATGTCATTGGTGCACCGCTGCTGGCCAGCGAGAAAGAAGTCAAGGCTGTATCTCAGGCATCCTCGACCTAGACAGAGAACCCACAAAGAACACACGAGAAATGAGGAATGACTGATGACCCTTTGCTGACCTGAATGAGACAAACTAATTTTCAATTATCTATTTTAATACGGGAAAGAGACAAGGATGTAGTTATTGGTCTACTGATTACACATAAAGCTTAATACAAGAAATATTTATATCAGGTTCTATCATATGGTCAGACTATTGCAACAGGACTGTAAGATCACAGTAACAACATTTACAAATGCTGAGATACTCAAAGGCCACACACACTATAGATTCTGAAACGCAAGGTATTTGGGGGAAGACATACCCCTGGTCCCTCTTTTGGTTCTGGGTCTAGGATAGAGACCGTGGTTCGGGTCTCTGCTTGTCCATATTTGACCAAAGGACTGGGATGCAGCCAAGTGACTCTGAGCGAGATGTTGGCACTCAATGGCTGTAAGATGCTTCCGCTTAAATGGTCTCACTGTTTTGTACCAAAGGACAGAAGAAATGGGACTCTTGTTAGTTATCACAAATTCTACAAGCTAGTCAGCAAATTAAACTTAGTTTTTAGGAATACAGGGACTGTGGACCACCCGAGCCAGCCCTTTCCATCTTCTCTACTTTCCCATCAATTTTCAGTCATCTCATAGTTTCTTAGCAGCTCTTCCTCTAGAATCCTAAAATAACCTTCTTTTTCACCTATCATGCTTTCTAGAAGCCCTGATCATGAAATGCTCATCTGAGAAGTGGCCATTATTGCCCAAATGGAGATCTGTCATCTTTTGCCGACTTCACTCAGGCCCTTTATATTCCCACATTAACCATAAATATTTTAAGAGCTGGCTGTAGCTTTTTAAAAATAAACTCACACATTTGTCCCCTGAATATACCAGCTTCCCCAAATCGCAGAAGCAGAAGGCACTAAAGAGACAGTCACTGTAGGTTCCCCAAGGAGCAGCTCACCCTTGTGCACCTCCGCCCACCCCCGGGTGCACCCCCGACCCCCCGAGCACCTCAACGTTCGGCACTAGTTTAAGAGGATGGCAGCAAGGCCCCCGAGAGGAAAAGACAGTCGAGACCACTCTTCAGCATCTTCATGGGAGGAAGTTTCATATTCCCCCTCAGCAACACAGCAGCAACTGTGCCCAGATTTCTCTCTTAGGAGTACTGACATATTTATATGAGGCATTTTCTGCCAGGTAATTCTTTTCCACATTTAGCTGATGCTCTTCCTGTTTCTGCATATTATTGCATTTATGATCTAACCCCTCAATGTCATTAAATACAATAGTTACACTACTGTAAAACAAAACAGTTACATTAAAAAAAAAAAAAAAAGGGTGAGAGAGAGGAAAAGAACACATGCAAGAGAATTAAAGTGACCCTTACAGATGGCCAACAGAAATCACTTCCTGCCAGTACCATACTTTCACAGGTCCTAAAAATATTCTAGAGTAAACTGTAATATCATGTTAGAATTTCACTCAACATTTCCTGTAACCCTGAAAATATCTAAAACCAAGGCACTAATAATATGTGTATCTGGTATAATTTATATTATTAATCAATAACCCACCCCCCTCAGCCCATAGCTTCTTCAGAAACGATGCTTCAAAATTTCAATTCATTTTTTGAAGGTTTAACAGAAGTTTTAAAAAAACTTCATGGATATTTCAAGACTTTTAGAAAATTATTTCTCCACACAAAAACAGCTCTACAAGGCCCTCTGAAAGTATGCTAGAGAGACTTTTCAACTGCCTGAATTCAGAGTTAAAATGCCGCTGGAGGACCCCAGTCACTTAGCTTCTTGAAGGCTCAGGAGCGCTATAATGATTAAATGAGAAAACACACCCCAAAAGACTTGTCAAACTATAAAGCCCGACACAAATTTACCCATCTGCTTATTCTCTTGAACAAAGCTTAGATGTGATTGCATAAAACACTGAAATAACTCTCAAATTATAAAGACAGTACCTAATGGCAAGACATGAAGTATGTCAGCAGTCCAGTTACAGCCTGTTCTGTATTACTGAAAACACCTTCTACAAAGCCAAGTCGTATGTTTTAATCTCTATTATGATCAGAAAATATCCCTTCCACTGTAATGGTTTTATAAATTTCATTATTTCGTTGTGGAACATATTCCTCTACACTAAAAACCAAGTCTTATTCATACTCACAGAGGGAAGGGGAAAAAAAGTTCAGTTATTCTATAATAAAAAAATAAAGAATAAATTTAAAGTTTTCTATATTGAAAAAAAATAAGCTTAAAGTCTGATTATTCTCTTTTAAAAAATAAGACATGAAAGTTTACCTCTCCTGCTCAGAATCTTTCATGTCACTAAGCTAATCAACCACAGATCAACACTAACATGACCCGTGGCTGGATGAATCTGAGGCTACGGGACTCGGAGGTCCCTGTCCATAGGGTAGACTCTTAGGGACCTGAGCTCTCTGGAATTCTGGTGCCATGGAGGGTCCTGGAAGGAATCCCCTGCAGGTACCTTGGGAAGACTACACTGACGAACCCTGGCCCCTAGTTCAGGTGCTCCAAACCCACTCGGTTCAACTACAGGAGCAGCTGCAGAATTCCAGCCAGTAAACCCACCAACCCTGTAGATCCCAGATATGTGACTCATCTCGGCTTTCTCCTCCAACATGCCCAACTGTTTCAGAGCTGGCAAATCCAATGTCCAGAATTAGAACTGGAGACAGCTGAGGAAAGCTACCGATAGTCGGGAGAATGTCTTATTTAAAGAAGGTGAAGGTCTATAGGTAAACTGGCCTGGAGAGAAAGTTTTCAAAATAAAATCAAACAGGAGTAAGATTACCAACGTCAATCCCTCAAATTCACATGACCCAGGGCCTTGGTGCCGGCACAGACCTGCACGAGTATTCTGCTTTCAGCCTTCGGGTACAGCCCAGAGCATTCCTGCATGAAGCCATCGCTGGCGCAGAGGTGCCCAGGCGGGGCTGTCTGGCCTCTAGGCACCAGCAGGGCTGCCTGCCCTGTCCATCTGGGATGGTCCCTGACCGTGCACCTGGGAGGCAGAGGTGGCGCTTCACTTCTGACTTCCTTCTCTGACTTCAGTGAGAGATCAGAAACCAAGACCATTTTTCCTGCTTCTCGGGTCTCTGTGCTTCACTGTGTGGGAGCCAGGGCCCCTGCCACCGTCTTGGGAGTTAGCAAGGCGTCTAAGTCAGAGGCTGTGTGATGCGCTCAGATCTGGAGTGGGGAGGCCTCCTCCACGCGATCACTCACAGTCGACTCACAATGAGGATCCTGAGGAGCTGACACTCGGAGTTCACACCACAATCACGCGGTTCCAACAAGACAGATGGAAGCACCTAGCAATACCCACAGGGAGGCTGACACAGCCCATCAGCTCAGAATTACACGTGGACCATGCCATGATGAGCTTCTTAAAAGATGCTATGTTTTAACAGCATCAGTGTTCTTGTGAAATTATTTAAAATTACTATAGTAAAATTCTAACCAGCTTCTAGCCTTGTTAATATATTTTTAAATCAGCAGCTTAAACCTAACTTTATCAAAATAAGGATGCTCAAATGCTACCCCTTCCTCCCCTGAGTCCCCAGACCTCGTCAGGTCCCCTCCTCCAAACAGCAGGTGCTCTCTGCAAGGCTCTCCAAGGGCACTTACTAGAAGATGCTCGTGATTCTTCAGGAAGCAGCTAAAGTGCACCATGATGAACGTGCACTGTTAAGAGGGATGGAAGGACATGACACTTGCTGGTGGGCTTTCCAAACTCTGCGAGGCCCCAGAAGGGTCCAGCAGAATCTTCTCTAGGTGGCAGTGGGCACTTGTGCCTCTAGAGCTGACCACAGTGTCATATCCCTTATGTCATGACAGAAAACCACTGGGAAAACAGGAAAACCATTTCTCAAACAAGATTTTGCCCATCCCATGCTGCTTTTCCTGTCATGGCTCTCTTACAGTGAGACGCCTCATAGATCCTCCATTGCTGAGGCCCTATTTCTAGGGTCACCCCCACCACCACCCCACCCTGCTTGGCAGACCACTGGCACTGCAGGTGTGGGTCCCAGTCCTTGTGTCTGACTCCCAAGTGGTGAGTACCTGGAGCCCTCTGCCAATCACCATATTCTTCACCCTGATGACTGTCATCACCCCACGACCCCCTCAGGTCAAGCGCACAGCGGAAGACTAGATTCTCCTCAGCCCCCTGGAATGATCATTACTATACTGATCATCACTAAACCTGCACAAGACACCCCCAGCCCTGAGAAGGCAGGGAACACGCCCCCTCGACTTCATCCTCAAAGCACTGAGCTTGACACTCTGCAAATCTGAGCTACTCCAACGTTGACTGAACAAGAAGTGCATGCTCAGATGCCTCAATTCTGCTGGAATCTGCCTGGCTTCATTTTCTCATCCTCCCGATTGCAAGACATTTTATAAGACAAGTTTCCCAAAGCGGAACAGGGTGCTCCCCGTTTCGCGGTGAAGATGGCCCGTCCCCTCCCTCCTCGGCACTCGGCTGGTCCACGCCTCCCCGTTGTGCCGGGAGCTGGGGCCCCAGGGAACACGCGTGGAGGAATGTGCACCTCTCCCAAGCCCGGCCCGTAAAGCCTATCCTGCCCCTTCCTCCGCGCTCTAGTCCCATCCAGGGAACAGGAAGGTGACCCCAGGGAAACCTGGAGGCCACACGTTCAAAAAGGAAGACCCTCCAACAGCCTGGGTCCTTGGATTACTGCTTTAAAGAGCACCAGTACTTACCGGTGGCTCAGTTGGTAAAGAATCTGCCTACAATGCACAAGACCTAAGCTCGATCCCTGGGTCGGGAAGATTCCCTGGAGAAGGAAATGGCAACCCACTCCAGTACTCTTGCCTGGGAAATCCCACGGACAGAGAAGCCTAGTGGACTACAGACCATGGGGTTGCAAAGAGTCAGATTTGACTTAGGGACTA